TAGCTGGGTATACGCTACAATTCTAAACTTATACTAACCTATTCTTCGATGATGCCTTTTTATGGTAAATGAAGATTTTATCTACCCACTAGTGGGTAGCTTTGTTCTGAAATAACGCTGGTCGTGCTTAAAAAGATAGCTGAGTGCTGAATTAAGTCTTTTCGTTCCGAAGTAACGCTGGTCAGTGCTTAATATGTCTTGCAAGGGCTTAAACAACGCAGATAAGCAAACGCAGTAGGTTTTGATCTACTCCTGAAAATGCCTACAAAAAGAACACGGTGCTGAATTAGTGCCAGTCATGCTGAAAAATAGCACTGAGTTCTAGTCTGTACTACTAGAGAATCCATTTCAGAACAGGTTCAAAATTTACTCACTGTAGAACGTTAGAATTATTTCAGGATTAGTGGGATTTAATTCAGCATTATAGTAAGCTTGGGACTGAAATGATTGTAATAACTAAGTGGGACAGTCACCTGCCCGAAGTTCCGCAAAATTCTGCAATGCACCCGAAGCAAATGCTGGCTGGGCTTCCATTCCGCTACTTGGAAAAATCATACAGACAAGTGTTAACAGAATATTGCCCACTATTACAGCGTAAGGGGCAATAATAAAATCGTCCAAAACTCGCAGAATGTGAGACAATCCAAACTCTAGATAACACCAGTAACTATTTGTAGAGACAGCAAACTTTCAACTGAAGGGCAGTGGATTCCAACTAAAATTTGGCTGATGGAATATCGTCTGTCAAGTAATGCAAGTGAGATTCCCGTATTCAGCTTCTTACCTCGTGTATAAACATGTAAGTGGTTGCTGTGTCGTAATACTACTGTAGAATACGTGTCAAAAGTGTTTTTTCGTTATTCTGACTTCATCTTCACACCGTTTATTTCTTTAAGATGACCAGTATGTTAAGCATTGTAAATAAGTGCACTCTTCCTGATTCTCGGATAAATAAAGTAGACCTCGCATTGCTTTTGTTTTTAAAAATAATATGCAAAGGTATTTTATTTAGTAATCATATGTGTGTGTACACTGCATTACTGTTATCCCTATTTTGAAGTTTAGATTATGCCGGACGAAGACTCAATAAGAATTAAACTTATTCTCTTAGGCGATTCGGGAGTGGGGAAGTCGAGGTTTGTTCAGTGCATAACACTGAAATCTTACTCTTAATTTTCTTCAACAAAGTCTAATCCGCCGATTTGTTGATGACCAGTTTCTTCTGAATGAGGCGGCGACAATTGGTTTCGACTATAAACCATATCAAATGGTTGTGGATGGTGAGACAGTACAGTTTAATATATGGGTAGGCTTCATGTACTAAATACATAAACCGTTTCTGTCTAGGATACAGCTGGTGCAGAACGATATAGTGGTTATCTAACTCCTTCGTTTTATCGTCACGCCCATGGTGCCCTTTACGGTACGTTTGGTATCAAATGATTTTTTACTATCGTTTCCCTTCTTAGTATATGACGTTACTTCTATGCAAAGTCTTTCTGGAGTAAAGTATTGGGCAGAACAAACAGAACAGTTCTGTGGCGGTCGACTCTTAAAAATGCTTGTTGGGAATAAAATTGATTTGGTTAGTTTTTCTGGTTATATGTTCTCTATGTTGTACATATAGGATGGCCGAGTAGTTTCTAAAAAGGAAGGTTCAGATTTCGCTCGACAATTGGGATCACTTTTTGTGGAAACTAGCGCAAAAACAAGTGAGAACGTTCGTGATGCATTCGTAGAGCTTGTTCGCAAAGTGAGTTTTGCAACTATTACAGAGTATTCAAGACTGATCAGGTTTACCAGTCAACTTATTATTTAGTCAATGCGCAAGGTTTTCACTAGGTTTCACTGTAATCGCAACTTACTATGTATTTAGGTTGACTCAAAACGCTCCTATTATGTTGAGGTATATTATGGTTAAATGTATGACCTCTACTAAAGAAGTTAGACATATTCAGGTCGAGTTTAAACTGAAAAACGTAAATAAGGTCACAAGACACAGTTTTTTTCCCTGAGTTTTTTTGAAAATTAAACCAGATGCAAGGTAAGTGCTGTGAAAAGATATCCATGACATGAAGAACTGAAATATCTCACATATTCAAAATACATTTAAATTGTTCGGAAATTTTTTTCCATATATATATATATGTTCTGTGGATAGTGGGACATGTTGTGCACGCCGATGAACAGTGCTGTATGAGTTGGGTTCAAGTTGTAAAAAATCAGGTGTATTTGGACCGACACACGGAACGAAATCTATGAATTCATTCACTTTCACTCCTTATTGCGTAACGTGTAAGTTACCTGGTTACAGTCCTCGGGATGCTGAGAATCAGTGGTGGCAATTATTTTCTGTGAAAACGCTTAAAATCGCTCACAATTTTCAAACGCCTTCTCCCTTTGTTAATTTCGTAATTCCAAATGACTCTACTAGTCTTCATGTAGTTATTCTTTACTTCATCGTTTTTCCGCTGTAGTGTTACTAAGTTTCTCTTATGTGTGGATTTTTAGATGTAGAAGCTTGAACTGATACACTTCTTCTTGGAACTATACGCTTACTCAGTTACTCGAATAATAGTTTGGTTTCGAGATATTTTTCATCAGAAGTCGACATACACTGAAAAAATACATGCAGATGTGGATAGTTATTTCAATTATGTGTGAGCCTCCGCATCAGTACGTATCCACGAAACTAAGTTCGTATTGGCATAAAGTGAACACCTGATGGATAATCAATATAGATTTATTTAACAAATTGCAAGGACCTTGGTGCCTGTCTGTCCTTTACTCTAGTATGCTATTTTAGCATAAGTAGGGTGGTTAGGTTAAAAAGTCACACTAGTGGTTACAGTAAAATGTAGTGCTACTCCATGAAGTCAGTGACTGTGGATCTGATATCTGTGGAGGAATGTGGGCTACCTAATTCGAATTTATAGTTTGAAGTTGTTGAAAGTCTTGTAAATGCATAGTTCCTTTGTATTCACCGTAATAATAGCACAACTCTTTTTTTGTACCAATTATCGGTTCAATAGCATTCATTGACCCGTAACTTTGACAAAGTGTGGGGATTTTGATTACTAAATCATTCCTCACTGTGTGTTGGTAGTGTTTGTCATTGAGAATCTGTACTCAGCATATCTCATAAGTAACTATTATAAGCGACTTCTTTTAAACTATATAACAAGTGGTTGGCTGATTCACTTTATTATTTGCATTGACTTGCGGCCGTGTATGTGTGATTTGTAAAATAGTTGGAGGCAATACTGACACTCTTTAGCAAGGCGTATCTGGGGTGGCATCTTTGACCAAAGCACTGGCTGAAGCGGGTTTGTCTCTTGGAAGGAATATGGATCTCTTCAAGATTGCAAATACGTCTTGTTGAAATGTGCCACGGCTTCTTGCCAGTTGTATCCAACCACCTAACATCAGTTCAGAATGCACCACAGTAGCAAGGCAACTAACTTGATGACCACATTTAAAACCAAACTGACAGAATTCAGTCTCCACCAAATGCCGAGGAGTAATAGCAGAGCTTTGGTTACATCGTGGAGGCTTATCGATGTATGTGTAGTTTTGTTTTTGGTTGTTAAGTATCTCATTCATTTTCTATTATCTCCTCGCATTTCGTGCAACTAAGTTTACTTGTCAGAATTGCTGAAATGAAGTGTTATTCGTTGGTAGCAATAAAAGCTTATCGATATAACTAATTTTATCCATTATTACATACTTTTATACAGTGTAAAATGAAAATCCAGTATTTTTACAGACATTTATGTACCAAGGGCTGGTGTTCAATACTGTTTTTATGGTATATATATATATATATATATATATATATATATATATATGCAAGTCTAGATTAAAGATCGATTAGCCAGAAAGCATACTTTGTAACAGTAACTTCACCAACAGAATATGATATGGCCAAAGTTATACGACGTAATTTAACTAACGTTTAATAATCTCATACATACCATTCAATTAGCCACGAGTACACATTACGAATATTTCCTCTATTTACTTCTGCCACATATGGTACTCTATGGTTTTCTGTCCGTAGGATATTTTTATAATTAAGCGTCACTGTAAGATTCGTAGTACTTGTAGTTGCGTGACATACTTTATTTGGATAGATTTCTGGGAGAGTTCATTCAAATGATTCAAAAACATTTTTGTCTATCCACTTCATCTTTTCTTATGATGCTGTAATTATTTGTTAAAAAAGAAAATATGTTTTATGCTTTATTTTAACAAATTAAAATCATATATATAGATACTTCAAGATCCTGAATTCAGAGCATCATCTTCATCATCAAGACCACCTCAGGGTATACCATTAGAATCTAAACAGCCAGATTCATCGCCTTCAACGTGTTCGTGTTAATATCTGAAATTGTATCTGTTGTCCAGCGGTATATATGTATGTTAATGTTATCGAGAACCATTTCACGTAACAATCGAAATCAGTCTGTTCTAAATGGAACAAAAAAACAAAAACAAATCGTGAGCACGTACAATGCCTGTGATTCACACATTGCCTTATCCATTCTCCCCCTACTCGCTTGTCTCTCTCCTGTATACATCCTTTCACCGGTCATTACTTCATAAATTTTAATTAATATGATTTACAACTGCATTGTAAGATTATTTCCAAAGCATTCATGTTTAACTTCACCATTTGTTAATGATATATATTTTTTGTTTTTATCATTATCATTATTATCATACAGTAAAAATGTATAACACTTTTGATATTTGGATATTCTGCTCATTGGAAATAAAAATTTCCAGTATTTCAACACTGGCTTATGAACCAGTTAAAGTTGGTTAACACTGAATGTGTTCGATTTTATGGCTTCTTGCGATGCTTTTCATCCTTTTTTATCTTTTCAAATATTTTTAACACCATTCAAGAAAATGTTTCCTTGGATTTAATCTGTATGAAATCACAATTGGGTAGTTTTGTGACCTTAAATTTCATTTAGGTCATAATGTGTGACTTTCGTCACTTATATATACATGCTTTCTTGATCATTCACTTGTGGTATAAAGGGGATCATATAAGCCGTACTAGTTGACGTGAGTTGCATTCAGTTACTCATCTCGGTCATTCAGTAGTATACAGTTCTGTGCTTGTAGACTAGTGTATCATGAACTGTATTTTTAAGCAGTGGGCCACAAATTACCCCCCCCCTCCCCGGTTGAATACATTTTCGCGGTCATTTAATCTCTACCACTAACCCTAAAAGATGCGATTGTATTAGCCGGAGTACAAGAGCTTATGCACTTGACTATTTAACTGTTTTGCATTGAAAAGTGTAGCTGACGTAGGTTGAACCTTAATAGGCATAAATGACAATCGATAAAATAAGTTTCAATTGTATGGCTTAGCAGACAGATGCTTGTCTTCATTCTATAAGTTTATGGATATATATGCGTAATACTGTTTATTTCACTCGATGATAACTGGTTCGTCAATTCGCGTTTTTTTGTTTTCTTTTGAAAATATCAAATTTCGGATATTGGTTCAAGCATTAAATTCTCATCATATATCATATGATACCGTCGCATAACAGTGCAACAAAGTCCTCATTGTAAAGTGCGCACTTATAATGGAAATGTTTAGAAAAAACTAGTTTTAGATCAGTTTCTATATGAATTTTGAGTTATATATTGTCATCGATTGATAGGTGAATTGACGAGAAAAATTAGTAATGAACGCAGATAACAAGGTTAAAAGTGGTTGAGTATATTTTTCATCAATAATAGCGTCGCATATTAAAAAAATAAACAAAGATATTCTGGATGCAAAACTCTGCCCGAAACGAGCTAGATTCAAGAAAAGCAAATCATGTACTGACCAGACTATAAAACCATGGATCATTATGGAACGCAGCATAGAATGGCACTCAAATCTCTATCTCAACTTCATCAACTTTGCAAAGAATTTCGACAGAGTTGACCGCGAAGTAATTTTGGAAACTACTTCAACAGCATGGCGTGCCTCAAATCTTTATGAACCAGTGGCTGAATGGTATACGAGCTTGCCTTGTAACCGGAAGGTCCTGGGTTCGAAAATTTGTGCGTCGGTGGCACAGTGGTTAGGACTCTCGCCGACCATGCACATGGTCTGGGGTTCGATCGCCTGCCGACGCACACCCGATATCTATGGTCGGCCTGCAAAATTTGGGCTACCGATATCCATGCTGAAAATTCCATACTTGTACTGAAAATACGGTGTGGCATCAAACTGTAATCAAAATAAAAAAATAATAAAATGACACCACATACCAAGTGATTCACAGTGGAAGCGTTTGAATTGGAAGACACGAGCAAGACGAGACAGTCTACTAACACCGATGATATTCCTGAATGTGGTCGATAGGATTATGCTTCAGACTGTGGGGAGCGAGGAGACAGGGATACGTTGAACTCCAGAAGATTTACACTTTGCAGGTGATGTATGTCTAATTTCGAACAGACTCGAAGGCCTACGGGTGAAAATGAACAACTTTTCTAGAAAAGACAGGCAGCGAAGACAGGACTTCAAGTGAACATAGGGAAGACGGAGGTGATGAGGATACTGGACCAAGAATAACTAGCATCAATCATTATCAATGGGGTAAATCCAAAGAAGTCACTTCCACTTATCCAATCAGTATTGTTTCAACTACAAACGGCACGGATGACGATGACAAAGGCAACCAAGATAGGGGAATCTGAAATTGGTATGGAGATCAACTGGACATAGCACACGGAATAAGATCAGGATTTTCAACACTAATATTAAGTCGATTCTTCTATGACCGACTGACTGACTGGTTTCAACATACAACTCTGCATCAATGTGCAGCAGTCCGAGTGGCCACACTCCATGTATCACAAAAAGCAAGAGAAGACAGATTCAAAAGAGAGGCAGATAATAAACAGAAGTGTGAGGCAAGAACAATAGTCAAATGGAAGAATAGTATAGTTTTATTGGATATTATAAAGCACAAGGAGCGAATGCATCTACGCCAGCCACTGAGAATGATTTTTAGCCATATCACCGATTGTCTCCAGCCATTAGTTTCTACCATCTCGAGCACCCTAACCAACCAGAAAACCAGTCTACACCTCCCTACGTGACTGACTGGCTGGCTTGGAGTAACTGTTATGGATTTCATTGACTGATGAAGCCATGTTTTGGTTCGACCACCCCCACCTCTTTTCCAACCTGACTCATCCTATGCCAGCTAACATTGCCCGTCAAGGAAGGTGATGACTAGGAATACATGTGTAACACATGTCTTAACCATTTCAATCGGTATAGCTTCACAACCTCGTCGATTGATTTCTCCTCCCACCTACCTAGCACTCAACCGATGCCTTACCTCAATATTGCTCGACCTTGTATGCCGCTTAACATGCAAGATAGAATGCCGACACCTATGATCAAAGAAAGCTAGCCGGTCTTTTCATGTCTTCCACTTCTAGTGGACATGTCTCACAGCCATAAAGGAGGACGGAGTGGACTGCTGAGCAACACACACTTTCATTGAACGACAGCTAACCGGATATCACGTCTATGCCAGAGATGGCTTAATTTGGCAGGCATATGACAAACAACCCTTCTGTATCCGTACTGAGATTTCGTCAGCGATCAACCCGCTGGCGTTGGCTGATGCAACTTCCCAAATAAGTGAAGCGGTCAACACACTCCAATATTTCATTCCCTATCTTTAAGCTAGAAGTGAGTCGATGTAGTTCAGTCTCGTAGAATCATCGCACACTTTTGATAGCAGTAGCGAATCGCACAGCAAGCATCCGAAGATTTCTGCTGGAGGTGTTCAGAAGACTCTGCATTTTGTCAGCATCTTCACCGTGGAGGGAGGATTATATCACCTGCATATTCTGAGTCAACGAGATTGTTTCCTGATGGTAATAAGTCAATCCCTGAATCGCTGAAGTCAGTTAGGGTTAAGTCGATTAGTACATCTCTGATGAAATTAAACGGAAATGGGGACAGTGGTCATCTGTTGGACGGACACCACTGGTTGTCACCATTTGAGATGACAATTCTGTATGAGCTGTCACCTTGCTGATTGCATGAGTTCGAAATAGAGTGAGTGCGTTGATCAGTGCGATGTAGGTTCTCAGCATTTTCATCTTAGCGCCATTTAGTCTACTCTTGATTATTGGGTCTAGAACTTTAGATACTATATTAGTCAAGCTAATTCCCCTGTGATTATCACAGAAAGATTTGTCTCCCTTCGTGCATATCGGGATAATCAATGACTTACACCAGCCCGATGGGACTATCTCTGATTCCCAGACGCTGCGTAGTACCTTAGTTAGCGCAGACAGACACCTCTGGATTTATTCCATCAGGTCCCTCTGCTCTACATCGTTTCAGACTAGAGGCAGCTTTTGTAACCCCAGTTAGGGATGGAGGTTCGGTGTTTATATCCCACTCAGGAAGATGTTGGATGCTCGGTAAGTTGCACATGTCTGTAGGCCAATTAAATAGCTCCTCAAAGTGTTCCTTCCAACATTCCAGTCGTCTATCCTGAGAGCTAACCTGGGCTCCACTTTTCTCGGAGATTGTTTCACTTATCATTTGCCTTTTCCCACCTGTTTTCTTGGTAAGTCTAAATAGTTGTCGGGTGTTACCTATCGCCGATGCCTTTTCCATCTCTTTTGCTTTTGTCGCCCATCACTGTCCACGGTCATTGCGAAGACTTCTTGTTAGTTTGCATTTGAGTAGCTTTCGCTCCTCATCATAATCGGTGCTAGCCGGAATCAGTCTTCTTGCGTCAATCAGTTCGGATGAGGCGGTGGAGATCCAGTGGCTCTTACTAACTTTTGTTTTCAGGTTATTAACAGCCTTTACAGCTCTGTCTACAGTTAACTGTATATTGTGCCAGGCTTCCTCAAGAGGAGTCTTGCTGTGGATCTCAGATACACGTGTAGCTATTTCTTCCTTAAGTAGAAACTCGGTGTCCTGATCAAGTGTGGCGGGGGGCGTAACTGCTTCGCTGCCAACAGTTTTTATGTCAGTTTAGTCGTAAACATGCGCGGAACAGAGCGTGATCAGAGTCTACGCAAATGTTTCAAAAGGAGCGGCAATCTTCTACTGACCCTCGCCAACGATACCCTATCGCTATGTGGTCTATCTGAGTTCAGTGTTGATTTGGTGATGGAGGTCACCAGCTTACGCAGTGTCTCTCTTTGTGCTTAAAGTTAGTGCTGACTAGGAACAGATGATTGTCTGAACAGAACTGTAGAAGACGATCACCGTTGTCGGTTCGTCGGTGGGGAATTCCATACGTACCACCAACATACTTCTCAGTCTGGCATAACTTCCCTACTTGGGCATTGAAATCGCCTGCTAAGACAACTATA